CCAATGATTCCCAAACTAAGATGAAACGGCTGTTCAGTACTCCAGGGCTGGTTTTCAATGGTTCTCTAACTGATATTTATCCGTAATCAACTCGTAAAAAACAAATCTAATCCTTACAAATCAACTCTTGAAAAAAATAAAATTGCGTTTTCATAATTCTATACTAATATATGTAACTTATTGCATCAGAAATGCTTCATTTTAACTTGATCTTTATTCACATTGGTATATTGTAGAAAGGTGTGTGTGTGTGTGTATGGTTTATTGTCACTTGAAGTGTACTCAGAAATGAATTCGAGGTAATAACAACAATAATATCTGTTGTATTCATATGCTATAATTTTGAACATGAATGGAAATGATGAATTGCTATAATATTAGTCGACATGATTACAAAACACAAATCGATTTCCAGAAAAATATTAGTGTGAATAGTATAATCAATGCAAAGTACAAAAGATTTATGTGCATACAACTGATTATAGAGCGAATTTTATTGAAAAATTTAGTGGTATTTGGAAATGAGTACTGCAAATGTGTGAATTTATTGGGTCAATTTGGAATTGGATGGAAAATATTAGAGCACGATAGCATCAAGTAAAATAAAATGAAATAACATGGAATAGAAACGACACTGTGAATGACGTGTTTATTATGTTAAATTGTATTCAAACTAACAAAAGAGACTGAGCGAATTGCTTCTGCTGCGCAAAAAATAAATTCTATCACTTTTACGAGTTAATCATGGATTGATATCAGTTACAGAATCATTGAAAACCAGCGGGTACTGGACAGCTGCTGTTTCACTCTGGCTTGGAAATCATCGGCAGTACAGGACCTTCCGGTTACAATGGCTCATGAATTCTAACTCCCACCTATTCGTGATTTAGTGCGACCCCATACATTGTCGTTTGTGGGACATCCTTCCACACACGTGACATTTAATTGGACCTCACTGGTCACGACTTCTCACTGGACTCCAGGAGACTCCACACTGTAGCAAGTCACTAACGAGCATCATATTAATGTTCTGTAGTTTGGTTTGTAAGGGTTAGTTATGTTAAAATTCCAGTGGATGCGTACTGCCAATGATTCTCAAACTACAGTGAGGAAACAGCTGTCCAGCACCCGCTGGTTTTCAATGGTTCTCTAACTGATATTTATCCGTGATCAACTCGTAAAAACATAACTAACCCTTACAAACCAAACTATAGAAAATTCTATCGTGCTATCGATTCGCAACAAGTCTCCGATGGAATTATTTCATTTCTTCCGTTGATAAAATTTACAGTATGATCTTTTACTTCAACAACGATTCATATTTGTGTTCTATCAGGATTAACCAGGTCATAAGCTGTGTCATTTTCATCTTATATATATATATATATATATATGCACCCTATATCTTACACTACAGAACTCTAAACGAATTTCGGACTTGTTAGGAATGTGGAAGATTTACAGCACACGAAGTGAAATGGATACGATTCGTCTTACAGAGTTTGTCATCTTTATCTTAAGATATTCTCTACACAAGATCATAATTTTCAGCTCGAATGTCAAGTCATTGATTCCTCATAGTTCAGAGACTTAGCGTGTTACCACAAACATCTCTGAAAGCCTGTTGCAGACTTTTGTCAACAGCTGTCTTCGCTGGTTTCCTACCAAAGATCAGATTACATTAACCTTTGACAACGAATTAACGAAGAACCCACCACTCAGTTGGATACACTTAAGGAAATGGAAGTGAATTTGGATATAATCTGAGGAGACCATTGGATGACGTCATACGCTACGAAATCCCCTGAGTAGAACCCGACGTGAGAAATACGAATTATGTGGGGATCTGACGGTGCAATGGGGGAAGTCATATAAAGGAGAAATGAAAGCTTATGTGCAGTTGTGAGGCCAGAAAAGAGGATTTATTGCTGAAGCTGTATATTTCTCTTTGAACCCATGGGAATAATTGTAATAATAATTTCTTCACAATTATGATAGAAGCTACGAGATGGTGTATTCGCGTCCTATCGAATAAAGAAAAGTTAAATGTAACACAGACAACTAACTGCCTGACTGGTTTCAACATAGAACTTTGCACCGATGTGTGCAAGTTCGAGTCGCCACACTCCATGTAGCACACAAAGCAAGAGGACAGAATAAAGACAGATTCAAAAGAGAGATAATAAACAGAGATATGAGGCAAAAAGAATAATATTATGGAAGAACAATAGTTTTATAAGTCACAAGGAGTGGATGCGTCTGCGCCACTGAAAACGATTTCGAGCTATATCACCAAATATCTCCATCCATAGGTGTTTAAAGTCCCGAGCATCCCAATCAGGAAGCAAGCCTACACTTTCCTATGTGACTGGCTTAAACTAACTGTTGTTGATTTTATTGACTGATGCCACGTTTTTGTTTGACCGCCACTGGCTCTTTTCCAGCCTGACTGTATGTCAGTTAACATTACCTGTCGAGGAGGGCGATGGCTAGGAATACGTAACACATGTCCTAACCATCTCAGTCGATGTATCTTCACAGCCTCGTCGATTGAGTTTCCCCTCCTTACCTAGCATTCGACCTATGCCTGCCCTCAATATTGCTCACCTTGTTATACCACTTCATATGGGAGATAGAACGTAGGCACCTCTCATCAAAGACAGCTAGCCAGCCTTTTCATATCTTCCACTCTCAATGGCCATGTCTCACAGATATAAAGGAGAACAGAGCGGACTACTGAGCAGTACACACGCCCTTTGGTCAACAGCCGGTCGGACATCACGTCTGCACCAGAGATGGCGTAAACTGGCATATGCGAGATGAGCCTTCTGTATTCATGTTGAGATTTAGTCAACAATCACCCCGCTGGCACTAGCTGATTCAACTCACCAAATCAGTGAAGTGGTCAACACGCTCTACCACTTCACTCCCTATTTCTAAGCTAAGAGTCAATGTAGTCCAGTCATGCGGGAGCAGACTGCATACCAAACATACGCAGAATGCAGTTCAAGTTGTTCAGAAGACCCGGCATTTTATCATCGTCTTTACCTAGAAGGCTTATATCTTCTGTATATTCCGTATATTCTTAACACAGATGAAGTGTCATTATTCACCAGTAACCATTAGAATGGCTTTCAGAATTTATCTTTTTTTGACTTCAAGGTGAATATCATAAAGATATATTTTACTGAGCTAAACTTTAAAAATCTCAACATCCAATGTGAAGTGTTTTCCAGCAATAATCATAATCACCTTAAGAATCTTTTTTAATCGTTAATCAACACCATCTATAAGTGAAATAAATTGAAAAACATGGATGACTTGATTTTGGATCGATTTTATGAATAGCCAGTAGTTACTAGTAAGTACTCTGTATCCGGTAGTTGGCTAAATAGCGAATTCTACACACACAAAAAAAAACAAGTGGGTCATTATGCCAGCTTCCCAATGCAGAGTCAATCAATTCAGTTACCTGCTAATACGGATTTCGGTTGTGGTTTCACCTTGATTTACTCTGAGATTCAAGTGAACATTTTAATAGATTGTGAATATGTCTAATTGTTATTTCATTTTTATTACAACAAAGATTGAATAAGACTTTTGCTGAAACTCAAGAAGATGAAGATTTTTTCAGTTACATGACAAATATTTGCCCTCTAAGACTCTCAAAACCCAAGTAGTCTGTTAGATAACGCCTTGGTGTTTGGAACACTAGGTACTGGGTCCGAATCTCAGGAGAAACACCTTCACTCACTGAGGAATAATGAATCTCAAATAGAACCAAATGTTCATCCTCGGTTCCACTGTTAATCACAATCTACTAAATCGCTTTAATTTAATCCTCAGATACCGTCGAAGAATCCGTACGAGAAACCAACATACTGAAAGAGGCCGAACATTTCCGTTCAACTAATTAATTACCTAGTTAGTAATTTTTATATAATAAGAATGATAGTGGTGGTGATGATAGATTTGTTCTGAACAATACTTTCTCATAAAGTATAGCATAATCAGTCTCTTTTAATCTACTCCTTAAACCAAGTCTTCAAGTAAAGTAATAATTGAAAGTGAATCATTCGACAGAATGTTGTTCAATATGAAACATTTTGCAAGCTTCGACAGCTTCGTCTTTTGAAAACATGCCAAGTGGTATATTCATAGCTATTCAGAAATATATGTGAACAAAGATTTTTCCTCAAGTCGTAACTGGATTGTTAAAAACAATGAATCGAGTACATTTCACGGATTATGCTCTATGGATCTCGACTAGCCAGCTTAATTGTTATACAGTGAATAGAAACAGTCGTTTTTTATCACTACGAAATATATATGTTCAAGAGTGTATTTTCAGGGACTTGATTAGTTTCAGATTTGATCACGGATTGCTATCTGTTCGGAAACCATTGAAAACCAAGTGTGAGTATTTTACAGCTGTCTTATCTTAGTTTGGGACTTTTCATTGGTGCACACCCATGAAGGTTTGAACCTAGAGCCTTCCAGTTACAAGGCGAGCTCATAGACCAGCCGCTGCGACCCCTTTCAATGAATTTCAACTAATGCCATTTCGTGATTTTTACTGTAACCACCAATCAGTGTTATTGGCGAGTATTTGTCTTCACTTCCAACCAGGTGGACCTACCTCATGGCTTCTCACTAGAATAACCTCCAATCAACTTTGTCCTGTAACCAGTCACTAGCAAGCATCAGAAGTTAGAATGCATGGGCTGTTGGATAGGTTGCTAGTGGTTAAATAGTCTACGAGCTCGCTTGACTTGTCACCGGTAGTTCCTGGGCTCGAATCCCGGTGAATGCATACTGACAATAAGTCCCAAATTATATATATATATATATATATATATATATATGTGAGAGACAACATAAGCTGTGATTATTTCTGTTGCGCGTACATGTGCGTATAAATTCCGAATAGAGACAGTAAGGAAGACAATGCATGTGAATGTATGCATTCTTCCAGAGGTTGAAAATAATACAAGTTTTTTGTAAAAAAAATTTTTTTAATTCATAAAAATATTTTGGCTTATACAGGCAACAAATAAAAATAAAAAAACAAAACATCAGTTGAATTTCTTCTAACTAAATAGTGGAAATGATCTCTTTGTGGAAAAATATATATGAGAAAATATGGAATGAAGGTAAAATCACAATAGCGCTTGAATAACTTCTCTTCCCTCTCTTTTTTGTACAATACAAACATCTTTCATATACTCAACTACAAGAACAACAACAACAACAGAAGAAGACGAAGAGTGGGGGGAGGTATTCACATTAATCAAACAATCAAATCAGATGGATAGATAATCGAAAAAAATTTTGATCACACTATGCAAAGAAATCTTGAACTAAGATGGGGAATATACTCTGGATCTGTGTGTGCGTGTGCGAGTGCTACATTTACAAAGCTGCCTAATGACACAATTCACACTGGGTTTATAATAAAATTTATTCTGATTTACTCAAATGACTGAATGTTTTCTCAAACACTTATTGGTTCCTGAAGTGTTAATCTTCTTTTTTCTCGTGTAAAGTGTATTTGGGTTAGTGTTAACAGTGTCATCATCGTCATCATCATTGCCATTGTCATTAGAATCATTATCTGCATTATTATTATTATTATTATTATTATCATCAGTATCACTGTCTGAACTATCACCCCATAAATAACGTGGATCACAGTCTAGAAAAGATTTATTGGTATAATATTGAAATCCAGGCGCTGAATGAGATTTAGTGTTTCTATAACTGCCCAATTTGATTGCAGAAATAAGTGTATTCTTTTGCTTGTTAGTATTATTATAATTATTGGCAGGAAGAAATCGCTCAGTAGATTGAAATAAATTTTTAACAGCATCTTGAACTTGTGAATTATTCTATAATAATGATGATAATAATAATAACAAGAAATAAAATATCTGGGTAAATAGTATTTCAGTAAAACAAAATAAATAGGCGTAAGTGTTAATTGCTGTCTACGTTAAACACTAAGAAACTAGACATACATTTCAAGTTTGATCTAGGATTAACATCAGTTAGATAACCAATGAGCGAAAATGTTAACAGGAAGGAGTGGACAGCTGTTTTGCCCTAGTTCGGCACCCTTTAACAATAAATATCCATGGCTTAGAATGGAACCCAGCAGCTTCAGGTGACGAGGTAAACCAATGGGATGAGATTCAACGCCTGGTCAAATCAAATCCTCATTAAAATATCATAGACAGTACGGATGAGGATATCAAAGGCAGCAAAGATCAGAAAAACAAAATAGACATTGATTAGTCTGAAATCAGAGTGGGAATCTGTTGTACTCAGTATAAAGAAGAAGATTCGGATTTTCAACACTGATGTCATCAAGTCAGCCAGTTCTTTTATATAGTTCAGAGAATTGTCATTTCAGGATTTCATCATGAGGTGACATTAGTTAGAGGACCATTAGAAAGCCAACTCGGAGTACTGGACAGCTGTTTCCTCCGTCCTAGTTTGGGACTCTTCACAGTAGGCACCCACTGGGATTCAAACCCAGGACCTCTTGGTTACAAGGGGAGCTCGTAGACCACTGAGCCACCAGGACCCGATCTAATGGCCAGTGCATAAATTCTAACTTCTGCCTATTCACGACACAGCACGACCCCTAGCCAATGTCTTCGGTGAGTATTTTTCCTCAAACCCGACTGGCTGCACCCTACTGGTCACGACTTCTCACTAGAACCCCAGGTAACTACCTACGTGAATAGGGCGATTCGCTAGTGAGCATCTCATTGTTATTCAAGTGTTGGTTTGTAGGGATTTGATTGGTTTCAGGATTTCATCAAATCATTCCACTAAAAAACATTTTGAACAGCCTGCTTCAGACTTTCATCATAAACTGCCTTTATTGGCTCTGTACCATCACAAAGGATTAACAAAAAGGAATTGTGAAAATGAACTGACCAAGAACCTATTCCCCAATAAATATGTAGGGAAATTATAGACATGAATCATACATGCCGTGGAAAGACCATTAATTCACATCCCACAACATACAGACAGACTGTCTAGCAGAACCTCAAAGGGAGACGGTGATCTGGGCATAGACCCGAGGGTAACATCGAAGGGATCATGTGAAGAGGAGATGAAAAACTGAGGTCAGTTATGCAGCCAGCTAAAGGGGACTACAGAGAACATAGTGAAATAGAGATGTACTAATGAAGCCCGGTGTTCCACGTAATAGTCAATAATAATGTAAGAGTGCGCATTGTACAATCGCTTACTAAGCTATTGTATCTAACATACATAAGCGAGCTGTAATAAAAAATACAGTAAGCAGGTTATAAAAGCGATTCAATAAGTGTTTATACAAACTGCCTAAAAATGTTATTCACATAGATAGAATTCGAAAGTTGAGGCAGTGGATGGATACAAACAAGTATCGAACATTGAAACCATTTCTGCTATTCAGACAAGACTCGAAAAACCATCCCATTGCTTATCCTTTGTAATATAACCTTCTTTAACATTTAAATCCTACAGACTAATCTTTTGCGTCAATGGTTCGGCGATAGAAGGCTGGTCAAACGCTCACGTGGTTAGGCGAGCTCTATCTATGGCCAGTACCTTGATTCACCAGTAGTAAACCGAATGAAGAGGAAAGGTTGGATGACAGGATAGCAACCCTCTCAGGATAAACAAAGAACAATGCTACTGCTACTGCTACTGAAATTTCAAGGGACAACGCTTGAAGTCCCACTATGTTCCACTGGGAATGCAAAGAGATTAGACAAAATAAATACGGACATGGAATAAACAAACCAACAAGAAAACAGAAATAATGAAAAAAGAATAAACTTACAGTCTGTGAAGCAACATTATCATCTCCATTCTCCTTTTTAGAAGTTTCTAATGCACACTGCATTAAAGATGATATCTGTAGCTCTTCTAAAATAGAAAATAACACATTATATAAAGCATATTATTCTATGCATAAACTTACCTAAGCCTTTTATTTTAACATTTTCATTTAAATAAGTTGAACACTTAGCTATAGTAAGACTTCCTTCAGAATCGATTAAATTACCAGTTAAATCGATGAGTGTAAAACGTGATTTTGTTTTTGTCAGTATTTCTGATATATGCAAAGCGCCTTGATTATCAATTCCACAGAAAGCAATACCTAGACGTTTTAAACATGGTGAATTGATAAGACCTGATTTTAATGCACGTAAACCAACAGATCCAATATTTGTATTACCGCATAGCTGTAAGGTAGTTAAACGTGCACAACGCTTCAATCCTGCGGCCAATGAGTTCATACTTGAAGATGTTATCCTATTCTCTGATAAAAATAGTCGAATTAAACCAAATTTCTGGTTAAGATTACGATTTTCAGATGAAAAACATGGTAAAGCCAATGCTTGAGATATTATTAAGCAGCCTAAATCCTTTAAAATGGTACAAACAAAAAAATAGTAAATAAATTAATTTATTTGTAAATTATCACTATCAATAAAAATTTTAAACACTAAGATAACCATATCTGCATTAAAAAAAAACTATTTTGAGTCGTTTATATGATGTATATGAATATTCAAAAGTAATTATTACTCTACTTTGTCAGGTATTATAACCTTCCATAAGTGATTAAAAATGCCAATTAAAACTTTTCGAAAGAATGGTTATTGAACAAAGAATGTTCTTTTCGATAACTTCATTTTAAGGTTCTACATTTGTATATACATGACAAAAAAAAGCGGAAAAGGACTACTCACTATCCGTAAACAAGAAGCCCTTATACATCTGACTGCAATTCAAGGGCGATATACTAAACGAAATACATACGAAGAAATTAAGAAAATCAGTTCAAAGAACTTTTAATGTTGGCAAACAACAATTCTTATTTTCTACACGACCACTTGTGATTCGTCGACTGAAAGATGAAGTATCTAGACTAACACCACTTCTAATTGTATCTACTAATTTAACTGTGATTTTGGGTGGGGCCAGTTATATTGGCCGTTGATCAAGGAACTTGATTTTTCGTGCTCGGCCGGGAAAATCTATCAGTGTGGCTAAGTAAAGGTGCAGTAAAAACTACCAACAGTTCCACATTAGACCACCTGGTCCAAACCGGCCACATAACCTACATTGACCAATCCTTCCCTATCATCTACCGGATACCAAATAAACTGGCAAAAACATCGTGGTACGGCATGCTCCAAACAGCGAAGGCTATCAAGGTTCGTGTAAAACAACCAGTTCTCTGTGTGTAAAAGAAGCAAGTCCAGCCCCTACAACTACCCTGGCCAGCATTCAGTGGAGAGTATAAATTCATGAATTTGTATTAATATCTTTCCTAATTTTTCTAATATTCATTTTATTTGTATGTTGATGCTATTGAACTGCAATCCATTGATATTTTTTATTATTGATTCTACGTTATTATTTATTTCTACTTACTTTTGATTACAGCTTGATTCCACACTGTATTTTTGGTACAAGTATAGAATTTTCAGCATGTGATATCGGTAGCCCAAATTTTGTAGGCCGACCATAGATATCAGGTGTGCGTCGGCAGAGGATCGAACCTTGGACCATGTGCATGGTCGGCGAGAGTTCTAATCATTGTGCCACCGACGCACATAAAAAAGGGAGGACCGTGAGGAGTCCCCACTGACAAAAACTACACGCCCGAGCGCACCTAATTAGGGTCCGTCGCGAGTTTCAACCCACCATGGTGCAATGGTGAGCCTCCACCCGGGACCAGAGTATTCTTGATCACCCTGAACCCGGCGCCAACAATAACAATAATCATGTTTTTATTAACACTAATTCATTCACTTTTATGTATATACAGCTGTAGAACTTGATGAAGAGCAGGTTATCGAAAAGAATATTCTTTGTTCAGTAGCAATTCTTCCATAGTTATTGTTATTATTCCCATGGATTCTGAGTAGGAGATAGCGCATCAACAGCACATCTCCACTTCATTATTGTTCTCAGCAGTTCTTTTTAGTTGACTCCACGACTACCTATACGTTTTTCTATCTTCCTCACACGACCTCCTTCGTGTCAATCTCAGACCACTACCCAACTCGCCGTTTCTCATTCGGATTTCACTTGAGGCGCTTGATTTCACTTAATGATCTCCTGAGCATGTGTTCAATCTATTTCCATTTCCTTTGGTATATTTACTGGGTAATAAATGTTTCCATAGGTCCAGTCAGCTGACAAGTCCCGAATAGGACGAGATTCTCTTCTTAGACACCACAGTGGTTAGGACTCCCGCCGACCATGCACATGGTCCGGGGTTCGAGCCCACGCCGACGCACACCTGATATCTATGGTCGGCCTGCGAATTTCGGGCTACCGAAATCCACGCTGAAAATTCCACACTTGTACCAAAAATACGGTGTGGAGTCAAGCTGTAATCAAAAATAAAATAATAAAAAATAAATAAAAACTTGGAGTCAGTAGTCATGATAACATCGAGATATCCGTTCAAGAAGTCTGTATGTTAGAATGAGGCTGATTAATTTGGTTCACAAGTATATGTCGTGAGGAAATCACGACTATAAATAATAAATGATTTATGATACTTTTAAGCGTATAAAGTATAACTTTAAATTGCATAAAAACAGAGGGAAGGTATTCAGAAAAGTTAAAATTAACTTTCTGAACAATTTCCATCTTCCAGAATTTAGTCTAGTACTAAATTATATGACTATTAGAAAAAAATATGAGGCAATAGAGCTTAGCAATGAAAAGAAACAATACAATTAATGATCTGTTTGTCTCTCCCTCTGAATAAAAAGTATATGAGGTTTATCTTCTGTTTACAGGCTCAATAAATGAAATAGTATTATCATTATTAGTCTTTGTCTTTGGCGAGGTCTTTATTTAATTAAGTTATGAAATACTAAATACTAACTAGAGTGAATACAATAGTAGTAGTGCACATACTATATATGTACGTGTAACTAACTAACTAACTAATTATAGGCTAATAGAAGCAGATGACACCTTTGTTTTGCTTAATTGTTTCACATATTTTACAATATTTATTTTTACTTTGAAAAACGTTTTTCTTTTAAAAATTGTACTTTAATTATATTCACTATAATTAATGAATACTATTCACTAAACCATATGACACGTCATTAAGTCTTCAGGTAGAACAAGGTAACTTTAAAAGAAATTCAATTTGATCATTGATTCAATGATGTAACACTCACTAATCATGCATGTGGTTAAGGGTTCGACTTCTGGATGACATTTTCTTAAGCCCCACCCAGCCGATAATGAAACCGATGAAGAGGGAATGTTGAGCGTGAGGTTAGCAACCCCAATCGCTGAGAAACAACACCACTGCTCCTGAAATTTCAATGCTCAAAGCCTAAAGCTCTATAGTCCACTGGGACGGTATAGTAATATAATCAAAATAAGTTTCTGAGGATTCAAATATATAGGCTTTTAGTAAACATATATTTATTCAGGACCAGTGAATATCTGTAACTAATGAATCTATTTTGCCAGGTTTCTTTAACAATTGCCAGGAAATAGAAGGTGCTTCATCACGCAATGGTTGAATACTCGCCAATCATACGCGAGGTTCAAGTTCGATTCCTGACCAACTCACTAGCAAACCTCGCCTTGTTTAGTAGCCGATAGTAAGCTAGGGAAAGAGAGTTGGACGTGAAGCATTGAAAACAACACCATTGCTAGTGAAACTTCAAAAACAAAGAAACTGTTTCTTCCACATAGAATGTGAACAGCTTTGAAATTTTCCATACTTCGACTTTTCAGTAATTATTTCTGGACACTACTGTTCGACTGTAAAAGATTAATGAATTATGCTTTACAATTTACCACTTTTCTATCCTCAATACATTTGTCATTGACTGATGTCAACTTTAATTTTTGATGTAATTTTCCATAGTCTTTCAGAAACATTATTTAAAACTGTACGTGTTTAGCGAGAAGTTACAAAAGGACTCTTCTTTGCTGAGTTATGCCTTATGAAAATTTAATCACTACTGCACTTCTCCTATAGTAATTTGTGAGGAACTGTACGGAAAAAAACTGCACTTTCTCGATGTTAGAAAAGTATGTCCTTATTCTCTGTCATTCAGTAAAAAATAAATCCAGTTCAATGTCTCACGAGATTTGGGGGATTTATCGCATCCCAACAAGTCTTTATCATAAACCAGTCATGTATCAATGATAAAGCCGATAATCCTGGAATATTCAACCATAGAAAGTTAATACAGTCACTTGGTCTTCTAGCCAATGAAGATCTTAATGAATACTTTCCACCATTATTTTTCTCAATTAAAGACGTAATTTATCAACTCTTATTAAGGTATTTCGAAGAAACGGAGTGGTTTAGGCAAAAAAGGTTAATCACCATTTAATAACTACTTAAATAGACAAATGAATGATAGTATTCACGGTAACTAATATAAAACTTCAGTTTCGTGTTGATATCATCATTCACTTCTGCTTTCGACTCTTGACCTAGACGTCTCCTGTTAAATAAACTCTCTATGACACAAACTGAGTCCTGGGTCACTAACTGGTTGCATTCCTACTTCTCTAACAGAATGCAGTATACCGTATACAAAGGTATATCCTCCTCTGCTGTGCTCACTGAAGCTGGTGTCCCCCAAGATGCTGTACTCTCCCCACTTCTCTTTTCTTTCTTTCTACATGACCTACCATCTTCAAATGGCGATAATTTTTTTCAAATATGCTGACGACCTGACTGTATCTTTACCTGTCAAATGTCAAAGTGACTGCTCTATACTAAATGGCTTTTTATCAGAAATTAGCTAGTGGTCCAAGGAAAACGGTCTCACCTTAAATCCCTCCAAATGCCAAACAGTTAATTTCACCTTTAGGCACAAATCTGACCCAAAACAAACTGGTTATCACTCATGAGGTGTGGAACATAGATGGCATTGAAATAGAAACCAAGTCGGAAATTAAATACCTAGGCGTCACTCTATCTTCTGATCTTTCCTGGTCGTCTCATATCTTGATGATTTCGAAGAAAATATTCCGTCTTACCTTCTACATCAAGAAGTTAAGACATTCTGGAATAACCCAACCCTTACTCTTACAATTCGTTAACTCTCGCATTCTGCCTATTATTCTCTATTGTTCCCCCTTAGTTTTTCCAGGGCTGGCTACTGAAGAAAGACTATACCTTATTACGCAGGATGTTAAAGGTTGTCAGCAGGGTAAGCAACGTGCCTGGTTAAGTGGCACACTTAACCAGTTTGTTAATATTCTGGTTGACAGGCACATGGACTCATGTGAAAAATGGGCAAAATCCATTTTATCCAACTCACACCACCACCCTCTTCATTCACAACTCTCCGCTTGTATCTCATCAGGGAGAACCAGAAGCCTATATAGAAAACCAAATGCTCGCACTACCAAG